TGCAGTCCACGCTTGTTATCCACCGCGGCAGAGAATTGCTACCAAGGCCTGCAGGACGGCACAAGCACTCAAGTGGAGCAACCTATACAACGGGAATCCCACAAAAGGAGAAGATGAAGCGTGGATCTTCCATGGACGGACATAAAAGCCTCTCGTGTTTACGGAGTATATTACGAGTTTCGCAACCGATCGCCCCCTTGCTATCGCTTCCAAGATGCCTAGCGTCAGTCAAGCAGCCTTAAAGCGAAAATCGCGTGGCAATAATGCGTATCACCGAATTGATGCCGAACCCAGGGCAAGCCGCTTATGTCGCAACGCTCCATTCTCTCCTACTCCGTACTCCAAATGCCTTGACTATGAAGACGGGCTACTAAAGAATGGCAACTCGAAACAGCCTTCCGGGTTACTGCTAAGCGAGGGTGTACCTGACCATGTACCTTGCTCACTGAGATCAAGTTATCCAGAAACCTAAGCCCTGTCAATATATCAGTTGTCCTTCTCTAGATTACCCCGTTAATCCACACCTTTGCCTGTGGGAAAGAATCATCTCAGTCTGCTAGAAGCTCAAACCCTTTAGCCGAGTGACATTAATCAGTTCTTACTGTCCAGCATGCATATCCTAACACTACTCGCATCCTTCTTGGCAACATCTGGAGTTCTGAGTTCAGTCCTTGCGCAACCAGAAACCGAAGTCGCTTTGGACGGTCTTCCTGCCTGTGCGGTATGACTTCCCCTTGCATTGGAGAATCCAAAATGAAATTGGAAAATCCTTGAATGAACATCCTGACCCTTTCAAATAGAAAGCATGCCTCCAATCTGCATTATCCTCATCTTGTGGTTCCAACGACACAGCATGCCTTTGCAGAGAAGGTGTGACTGATGGCATAATCGCGTGCAGCAAGGACAATTGCACGGTGGTTGATACACTTAGTATGTGCCGAGGGTGGCCATTGAGAACTGTCCTGTTCATTTACAAGTATTCTAATTTACACTTCTGCAGGCACGACAAATACAACAAACACTGTCTGTGGCATTCAGCCTCGCGACAAATCGCAACCACTCGTTATTGTGAATGGCGTTCTCATCGGCATCACTATCGCTTTCTATGTGCTTCGAATGTACATTCATACACCGTTCACGTCAAAATTCGCTATGGATGACGGTATGGTCACAGTCGCAACGGTAAGAGCTGCAGACTGACTGCTTGACCAGAAGACTAGCTCATGTACTCACTAGGCTTGCGCAATCGCCGGCTCCTCTACCAGTATAATCGCAGGTGTGTCTCCAAACGTGCAAAAAGCACCGCTGTTCTTCGCTTACACAATTTTCTGATAGCAAATCTTGGCCTCGGCAGGGATCTTTGGTCAATTTCACCGAAGACTATCGATCACTTATTACAGGTTCGTCTATGATTCCGAACCCAAACCTCTGTTGCACCGGTTCTGAGCTGGCTCACAAAGAAACTACTTACTAGATTGTCTATGTAAATGAGCTACTCTATGTGTTCGCTGTGGTCCTCACAAAGACCGCGATTCTCTGGCTCTATCTACGTGTCTTTCCTCAGAAGGCCTTCAGGTTGATCACATACGCAATCGTCTTCATCTGTGTACTCTACCTCATTGCAATTGAATTCGTTATTGGTTTTCAATGCAGGCCAGTGTCCTACTTCTGGACGTCTTGGCGCAGGACAACCTCGGGGAATTGTATTGCCATCAACACGACAACATTCGTTGCTGCTGGAATAAACATCTTGCTCGATCTGACGGTGCTCCTTCTTCCCATGCCGATAATTCTCAGTTTACAAATCTCGTGGAATAAAAAGTTGCAAGCATTAGGCATGTTCGGAGTTGGGATCTTGTTCGTCTCACTTATTGACAAGAATCTGATCAAACCTGGTGCTAACCTAAGGTTTTTGCCTAGTATCACTGTCGTCAGCATTATCAGACTGAAATCGCTTACCACATTTTTCAAGGATGAAAACCTCTCCTGTACGTACAAATCCGTCTTTGGGCATTGGAATCCGTAAGAAGAATCAGCTAACCTAATACAACCTACACAGACTCTGTCCTCCCAGCTACGTTGTGGTCTGATATTGAAATGCATGTCTCGGTTGTATGTACATGCATGCCAGCGACACGTCAACTACTTCAGCGAGCACTACCTTCGATTCTGGGCTCCTCTATACATAGTTCTCAACGTTTAGGGAGGCCTACACAGAACGGCTATGTGCGACATAATGACGATTTCAAGGATTTCGCAAGCCAAACGCTTTCGTCAGGAACCGTGAGGACTGCGGACATGGAAGACGCGCAAGAACAAGAAGGCGATAAAATAGAGTTAGTGCAACAAAAGGCAGGCACTGACATAATCGCGTGGCCGGCAGCTAGTCAGGGAACAAAAACGACGAATGAGAGTCCTATTAGGACTTAATTCGCTCGACAATGCCTATTCATTCCCCATCACATTTAGTCTTCATATCAAAACTTTCTGCTCCCACGTGATTTGATGTGACGAAGGAGGGAGAGGTTGCAACGGTCTTCAGAAGGTATCATTAAGAAACAGTTTTCCTAAGTTCTTAGGTACCAGAATTCCTGCCCCGTCCCAAAAGGTAAGACAAAATCTTCTAAACTGTAGCGCAAATTGAGAAGTCCGAGTCATCACGCAACGGCAGTGGCAACAATGATTTGATCTCGTTTCGCGTTCGCCCTCCTGCATAGCATTACCTTCAGTCTAGAAGACTAGTTCTCTCGCCAGAAAACGCCGTCAACCAAATATGGTGTATTTCCTTTTGAGAACGATGTAAAAGTCCTTGACGTTGAGTTGTTCCTATGTTAAGAGGGGCGTGACTAATGCTGATTCGAGAAGTGGAAAGGAGAAGAGAGGAAGCTCAGCGCAAGTCGCGCCTGTTGATGTAGAATGGGGTGTGTCATGGTCAAATGTGACCAGCCAGGTAAACGTCAACCACTTTGCTGGACGTCGTGCCCCGACAACCACAAGGTGGACCTCTCGAACGTTCGCCTTCTGCGTTGAGTTTACTGTCTGCGGGATTAATTTGTACACACCCCCAAGGGATGTCGAAATAGACTTTATTCGTAAGTTGTCAGATTAAATTAGCTATTTTGGTACGTGTCCCATCTCATTTGCGCTTCTTAGCGCTCGAACAAGGTTGGTTGTCACGTGATAGAACGCGCTGTTAGTTGGGTGAGAAGAGAGGTGTGTGCAAAGATCATGAAGCGGAGCAGCTGACACGTGACAATACTTTTACTATTGTCGGCAGATTTTCTGTTGCAATCATCGACGTCAGCTTCCAAGCATCAGATCTTGCTTGTTCTTGAAGCGCCGAATAACGACAAAAGACGATCGCTTCCCTCCAAATGCTTTCGACCAATCATGTTCTAATAAGATGCCGGCGAGATGTCTGGGCGTGACTCGTGTCTACGTACCTCTGAAAGTGGCAACCTCTATCAATATTCAGACCGTTTTTGCCATCCAAGATATCTGCTTTTTAGTGCGCAACATGTTGACGATACTCATTTGCAGCGTTCCAGCGTTTCACTAATCTCCAGTATTGTGATCACATCATTATTGCTTTACAGAACACACGTCCACTTGCTTTGCTAACGTTCACAATTGCCGAGCCGGACCATTTGAACAATATCTCCAATGCTATCTTCGATATTGGCATTAAGCACGTTCCTACTCGTGTTATCCATCATCAACAATGTCGCATCCCAGACCTCCTCGCCCAATAGCTCAAAACGTGGTATAGCCTATCTTGGTACCAGCACGGCCCAAGATTACAACATATTCACGTCCAAATCCTCTCCATTAAAATGGTATTATAATTGGTCGCCTTATCCAGTCGGCAATCCACGGTCCTTCCGTAACCTCGAATTCGTCCCACTTATCCACAATCTGGACTCTCTATCTAATGATCTCAGCCAACTCTCCAATCTTCCCTCCACCTCAACACACCTTTTAACCTTCAACGAACCCGACGGCTCCACCTCTGGCGGCGGTAGTAACATATCTCCCTCAGATGCAGCCGCCGCCTATATCCACTCCATAGCCCCCCTCTCCCGCTCCAATGGCGGAAAATTCCTGATCTCTCACCCCAGTACTACAGGCACTCTCTCCGGCCTCAACTGGCTGAGGTCCTTCAATACGTCTTGCTACGCCTTAAACCGCACGCATGGCTGTCCAATCGACTTCATCGCTACACATTTCTACGGCGATTTCCCAGCCCTTGCATCTTGGCTGGGGACATTAAACGAGTACTACAACACGAACCAGTCGGCGAATTTGCCGATGTGGGTGACTGAATTAGCGCTACCTCAGCAAAGCGCAGCGGCAACGGAGGTGATGATGAATACAACGCTGCCGTTTTTGGATGGATTGAATTACGTAGAGCGTTATGCGTGGTTTGGAATATTCAGGGAAGGAAACGCCAACGGGTGGACAGGAGGTGGCGTTGCATTGCTTGACAACCAAGGAGATCTGTCAGAGCTAGGGGCCTCTTACATGGGTGGTGGGTACAGAGCAGGGATGAGCGCACAAAATGAAGATGGTGCAGTGGGAGCTGCCGACAAGATGAGGATGAGCACCGGTCTGATATCGGCAATGGCCATGGCAAGGCTGGTCATGGAGTTGATCATGTAGCATGAATTTTTGGATACACCAATATCCGACACAAGGTCATTCGAGTGTACGAAGAATCTCAAGTTCTTTTACGAGTCATACCATTACCCTTTTGTATTCCAGTCCAGACCAGCATCCAATCCTTTCCGGAATAAGAAAAACACCTTTCCTCTACCTACTGACCGTCACCACACACCCACTTACTCAACAATCCACATTCCTGTCCTCACTACTATCTCACTTAGACTTACTCCTGCTACATCACCCCCCGTCCGACCACTCACCTACTCACTCCTTAATATGTAGGAAGCCCCAATCCACTACCATGATCCCGGCCAGTCGTCATCGTCGTCATCTCAAGGGGCGCTATAGTGCAGTGGTCAGCACGTTCCGTTGTGGGCTTGTCAATAACACTTGACTGTCAAGTACATGGACTTCTTGTTGTTCTTGTTGTTATTGGGTCAAAGCTATTCCAGAGAGACCTTGGTTCAAACCCAGGCAGCGCCAGCTTTTTTCTCGTTTTTGGTCGCGTTAGCGCGTGTGTAGAAAGATAGGTGTTGAAGTGTCATACATGACCTGTTAGTGCTTTCATTGTGAGAGAGAGGGCTCGTCGGCTGGGGTGCTGGCGCGTTCCGGGTTTCGGGCTGTGTTAGTCAGCTAGTCAGTCAGTTCGCTTGTATATCCTCGCAGACACGTAGTTGGCATGATATTGGTGTCAGATTGGTCATTGTCGTGGGGCTCAGCGTTCGCCGTTTCTAGGTATATATCTGTTTCGGAGTTTTGCTTTTGGCTAGCTACATTCAGCTTTTCTTTCACCTTCTGCCACGACTCCAGCTAGCTCAATCAGCATCCAGTCTTGCTACCGGTGGCGTATTATCAACTTGGATACCACCTCTCTTGACCGCATCCGCATCCCAGAACGGCAGTCTCCAACCACCCTCGCTAATTGGCGTACTCAACCACAATCTCATCAGATGTCTCCTTGGCATCCCACTCTCAGGCCCATAGTCCCTGTATGCCGTGCGCGCATGCAATGTGTGCGAGTTCGACACAAACTGGATATCACCAACCTCGAGGATCATGTGCAATTTGACTCGGTTGCACGTATCCTCTAGAACCTGCATGGCGTCTTGTTGTTCTGGCGATAGCGGCGGAATGACCCCCGCATCGGAGAAGCGGCTGAGCGAGCGGGCGTAGTATGGGTCCCACTTGCAGTAGACTCGTGGTTTGTGATTAGCGTCCGTAGGATCTGGTGTCTCGAGATAAAACACTGCACCGCGAATATATGGCTCTTCGCCTTGACTGACCTCACCTTTTCTGTCGAAGTACCACACCGGACGCGTGAGTAGTTCAGCGACGTCAGGCCGTTCCTGCTGTAGAATATTCCACACGTGATGGATACTTGCCACGTCGCTTTCACCTCCTTCCTCGGCGCGTGCAAGACACAGAAGACCTACGACATCGCAGTCGTCCGCGTGGAAAAACTGTCGTGCGTTGGTGCGATAGATTCTTACCTTGTCGATTTGCGAGCTATCTTCGCCGAGATCCTTCACGTGCCCCAGAATATGGCCCCGGCCGTTCTGGGAGACTGGGTGGCCGATATGCGATCCTAGACCAAGGTATGCAACAGCAGACTTGTGGCTTCCCCATTCTATTACTGGGAAGCCTTTGTAAAGGATGAAGCCCTTGCCGTTGAGGAGTTCGTGACGCATAGATTGGAGCGAGCCAGCGAGGCCTGGGAGCTGGAAATTTGTCTTGGTTATACCAGTTAGGGGGATTTGCGACGCGATGAAGGTGTCCGCTGCGCGTGAGATCTCGGTGATCTCGGCTTCGGAGAAAGGATGGACCCAGCGCTCCGGGTTATTGGCGTAATCCTCAGGCCGCCAGACAGTGGGTCCTACTATCTGTTTGGGGAAGTCGGAGTAGGGGCGGATGAGGTCGTAGAGGGGTGGGTGTTGACCTGACAAGGCGTTTGCATTTTTGGAGTTGGTACATATCGGCAGGACACTTTTACGTACCGGAAGTCTTGAAGCCATCGGGAAAGACAGACTTGTCGACTGGCTTTGAGTTCACTTTGCTTGAGATAACGCCAATAGGCACACTCGCCGTTTCTGCTGCTCCGGGAGCCATTTGCAAACACTATACGTGAAGGACAATACTCATAAAGATGAAAGGGTGAGAAATCGAGCTTGTGGTGTCTGCTATTGAAGACCTACCTCGAAACTTGCTTCATAGGTCAACGCTAATCAAAGAATGTAACGACCCCTCATGAAGGGAAGTCAAATGTTGCGATCACGGATCATCGTGTAGCTGCTCCAAGTACTGGATGGAGTCTGGAAGTACACAGGCAGGAGCATCGCGTGCTTGACACATGGACTTCAGCACGCAACAGCCTCCGAAGCTTGTCAACAGGACGAGGATGTCCGCAGTCGCTGATGGAATAATGATTGACATAAGTGGAGAGGTGAAGATCCGATCGGATATATGCGGCGTTTCCTTTTACAAACCGCTTGAATTGCCTTCGCAAGGCTATCAACTTGTTTAGTGTCAGCAATAATGTTTTCGCTTGTTTGAAGGAACACGAATTGAGGAGAACTGAATTGTCTAATGTGTGATTTTCTGTATGAGATGTACGATTGTCAAAGCGCGGATTATCCCGCTAGAAGCAGAAAACTTGATCGTCCAGCTTGCTCACAGGTCTCGGCTTCTGGTAGCCCAAACTCTCAGCCGCCTTCTTCATAGCACTGATCATTGGAGGAGGACCGCACATGAGTAGCTTCATATCCGGTCCTGGCGCTGGCAGATGCTCCTTGATCATGTCGGGCGTCACGAAGCCCACACCACCAGTCCATCCGGGCGGCGGGTTGTTCAGGACATAGTAGACCTTGAAATTAGGATCTCTCCTCGCGACCTCATCGATGTCATCCTTCAGCAGAATGTCGTCGGGGTTGACGTTGGCAAAGATCAAGTCGACCTTGGTTTTGTCGCCAGCCGAGCGACCTCGCTCGATGGCTCGGATGATTTGAAGCATAGGAGTGATACCCGTTCCACCTGCAATCATCCCAATGTGCTTGCACATGTTTGGTGTGTAGACCATGGCGCCTTTTGGTCCACGGAATTTCATCGAGTCCCCTTCTTTCAGAGTGTCCATATGGGCGGAGATATTGCCCTGCGGGTAGGACTTGATCATGAAATCCACATAACCCAAGTCCTCGTCCGAGGAAATTGGAGTGTATGAGCGAACAATCTCTTTGTCTGCATTCTTGGGTGTAGCTGCGATGGAAATGTGCTGGCCGATTGGCAGTCCGAGGACTTGGTTCGGGGAGGGCAAGGAGAATCGGTAGATCTTCACATTGTGCGACGTCTTGATGATTTTTGTCAAAGGCAGTTCTTGGAAGGTGTCAGGCTTGAGGAATTTGGCTGGCTCTAGAAGGAAGCATGTCAGCGAAAATGTGCCGCAGCCATGTGCATCGCAACGTACGGCTCATGTAGATTTGGAGACCTCCTAGCACTGCGGCAGCAATGGCAGCGAACGGAATCCATTCTTTCTTCACGATACCCACGCCTATTATGAGAAGTACGGCCGGGACATAAACGCCCCTAATGTTCTGCATCGACAACGCCTGGCTACTATCGACTCGGTCAGTAGTCTGTGCATTCGTTTCAGGAGGCCTTCTGCATACCTCATTTTGCAATACGATGTTGCCGCAGCTTGAAGTCAAAGATCACACAGTTAGAAAGAGAGGCCACGACGCATCAGCTGCTCTGTTCTTCGTGTCGGACAGAGGGGTGGTCGGGAGATTTCGTGGTGAGCACTGAACAAAAGTTCCCCACAAAGCCAAATATTATGCCGGAAAATGTGTTCGATGTCCAATTGCTTCAGTAACGTGGTGCTCGTACGGTCAAGGAGGATGCTTCAAGATGGCGGTCAATTGTTCGTTGAGTCGACGAAGCCTTTACTTGGACAAATATCTATCACCGTCCTCATTCCATTCTACAATTTCTTTCACCATCGGATTGTTTGTCCCAGAGCGGGAACATTTCCGCCACGGGATAGTCTTGCCGTTTTTTGTAGCCGATGTTGAGGAAAGAATGATGTTGTCGCCGCAAAGTTGCCCGACTCGCATGACTGCTTTGCCCGATTAAGACATTCTGGTCCGCAACCCTAGTTCTTGTTGAGATACAGCTACCATCGGACTTGCCCTGAGCGTTATGGACTACCAGAACTCTGAAGCGGGTACACAGGAGCAAGGGAAGTTTCCCTTTCCGCTCACGGCAGTTGACCGGCACAATCTGTCTTTGAAGGATAGTGAATATCAACCACATACATGGGAAGAGCTCAAACAGATCATTGGTACTATCTAGACGGGTGTCTTCTTTCTTATTCACAGGGACTGATGGGTCTACAGCTGAAAACAAACTTGAAATTCTCCGTCGATGGCCATCAGACCTGAGACGGTATATCAAATGGTCCGCGGCGACCAAACAGGAGTATGGAACGATTATGAATTTCGTCATGCAAACAAGGCTGAAGTGGACGCCTTCGCCAAGATCGACTGCTGAGACCGGTCCGATATTTGACTATGAGGATCCTGTCGCATTCCAAAACCCTCATGATTATCAGATCTTGCCCAACGACTGGCCGTATGGCCTTGATCAAGGGATTGTACATCTGATTGTGTGGCTGAAGAACAGACTCGAAGTTGAGCCGACAAGGGGTGATCTAACACCGAAGTCTCGTGCTCAAGTTGACGACTTCATCCAGTGGAAATTCGTCAAGCCTATCGAGTCCATATTAGGTGATACCGATAGGGTCATCTGGTTCAAGAATTGGGTCTCGTTGCAATCTGTGCCAGGAATTGATCACGTTCATGTGCTTCTCAGGGGGGTACCACAAGATATTGTTGATCACGAATGGACGCATGGAGAGCGGCCTCTTCAAAATCAGATTGAAGTAACTGTATAACAACCACGCCCAGCGAATCATAGAAGCATGAACCTAGGCATTTCCGTTGCGTATGTCGTTCCACAAACGATCGAGGATCTGGAAGACAGCTGTTACTCCAGCCATCGTACCTTCATCGATCTGCATAAAGCCATACCTTTGCTGGACCTTGTCTGGATGCCAGCGCACTCTTTCATTCTTGACCAGATTGGCTTTGGACATGAAGGACGGATCATCTGGCCGTTGGGAGGAAGATGCTTGCTCAATGAATCTTTCGACTTCTTCCTGGCCAACGTCTTTGCGTCTGCCGGATTCAACAGGCCAGGCGATCTTGTTGCGCAGAAATACCTGTTCACTGTCATCAGCGTGTGGACCATTCCGTGCTTGAGAGAAGTCTTGTAGCTTCTGCCACTTGTCCTGGTATGCTTTCCAAGTTTCCTGCCATCTTCTGTTGGCTTTTCGGCGTGCCCCTCGTTGCAGGCTCTCTTCGATCTCCAGATCAAACACGAAGTCATGATTCTTGTGTGCTTCGGTCTTGGGCGCATATTCCCGTTGATCTTGC